GGGCCTCCGCGCTCCGCCCGCCCTCGCTCGCCGACCCCCCTCCCCTTCCTCTCGCCGCCCTCGCCTGGGTCTGCGCCCCGGCTCCTTCATCGCGTAGCATCGCGTCGGCCCGGCCCGGCCCGGCCCGGCCAGCCGGCAGATGCCCCGACTTGCTGCAGTCGCCGCCGCCTTCGACTCTGCCGGTGGCGGTGTGGGAGGCGGGCGACCGGCCCGGGGCCGCTGAGTGTGGCAGGCGGACGGGGCCGGGGGCCGCGGGCGCTGCGGCGTCGGGGGCTCCGCGCGGACCATGTATTTCCTGAGCGGCTGGCCCAAGAGGCTGCTCTGCCCCGCGGGGAGCCCGGCCGAGGCGCCTTTCCACGTCCAGTCGGACCCGCAGAGGGCTTTCTTCGCCGTGCTGGCCCCGGCCCGCCTCAGCATCTGGTACAGCCGAGTAAGTAGAGCCGCCGGCGTCTTCGGCTGCTCCCTCGCCGGCATCCCGGCGCCGTCCCGCCCCAACTTCCACCCGGGCGCTGGGTCCCAGCCCCTGTCGCCCCCGATCCCGCCTCCGGGGTGGATGAGGTCGCCGTCGCCGAACCTCCCGCGCCTCCTGCTGCAGCGGGCTCCGCCGCGCGCCGAGCCCAGACTCGCCCTCTCTCCTCCCTTCATTCTCGGGAGCACGTTTACTTAAACTTTGTTCAGAAATCTGGCCGCCGCGATGTGCCCGACTCCCTTGCTTTTTAGGTGGTTTTGAAGTTAAGGAAAGCCTGTTGGGCTTTACCCAGTGTCACACTTGACAGGCCTGTGATGGCTTATTTCTAGAAACTTACAGCTGGAGTTATTTTGACTGAAGTTGTGGTGCTCGAGTACCTTCCAGCCTCAGCCCTGGCATCCCTTCCCACTTTTAGGTTGGTCCCTTTCTTCGCTGCTCCAAGCCTTACAGGGATTTTAGGAGGAACGGAAGTAGAATTCAAATCTGTCTGCCCTGCTCAACTGTTGAAACACCTGGAAATAATAAGACTTGAAGGGAGGTTGGGACAGAGTTCTGTTTTTGCTGGTTATCTTTTTCTTTCTTGTATCTAATTGTCTAGTACGTAAGAGAAATAACTTGAAAAATAAGTGGTAAATGGGATACTCTGAAATTGCTGTAGATTAGTCTGCTAAAAAAAAACCCTATACAATTCAGAATACAAAAACTTTTCCTCTAAAGACACTACTAATCGATGTCAGAAGGTTATCTTTGTAAAGCGAATTTGGCTATGTGGAGATAGGTTATGACCTTGCCTTTATTAGATCTATATAAAATACCTGTTTTATGTATGGACGTCAGCGTCAGATCTCTCAAATTGTAGTGCTTATACTGCCCTTGACTGTCATTACGCGCAGCCTCGGTAAAATTGGTGATAGGATTTAAGTAATTCTAGTGTATCTTCTGTTCGACTATCATAACTGGGTAGTAAATCATACTATTTGCCATAAAGTTTTGACCTATTTTTAAAATATGTATCAGAACAAAACACCCTGTTATGAAATAGTAAATACCAGCAATATATTGTCTTCCGCTTAACTGCATTTTCAAATGTATCATTTGATTCTTAAATGAGAGAAGCATTTACAATGTATATGCTGGTTTAATAGTTTTTGTTTATGAAACTATTAACTTTAAAGTACACAGAAAATAATAACTAGATCTTGAATTTTAAATTGTTTTCTGGATTTCGTATGCAGTTCCATTTGAATATAACAATTGTACAGCCTAAAGTTTAACATTTCTTACTCTACAAAGACAGACCTAATGAAGAAAATTTGATAGGAGGAATAACTAGACTGGATGCCTATGAGCCGCCTTATTATCCCATTAAGGGATTATAAAAATGTGCCTCAGCTCTCTTCAGAATACTTTGAATATTAGTATCAAGTCTAGTTTTGCTCAGTGTGATAGCTCACACTTGTAAATTCCAGAGGTTGAGGCAGGAGGATTGGAGTTTGTGAGTTCAAGGCTAGACTGGAATACATCTGGTTTTGGAGTTTGATACAGCATTATCCAAGGCAAGCCTGGGATTTAAAATTGCTCATACTCCTTTTAAACTCCCACTGTAGTCACAATTCCATCCTTTCATAAGTCCAGAGGTTACTACTATTAAGATCTAGTGTATAGAAGATAGATTTAAAGGAATATATTAATTCAAAGGTATAGAGTGAAATGAAATGCAGGAATAGCCTAGGGGAAGCTGCATGGGTACAATAGGTTTACATGGTGGTTAACCTTGCTCTTACTGAACCAAGTGATTCTAAGGACTGTGATTATATGACTAGGTAAGTGGGGTATAAATGCTAAATTCCACGCTTCTAGTATTTTCCTCCTGGGATATGCCTTTTCTTAGACTGTGAACACTTTTATCTTCTGATGTTTGAATTTCCTGAAACTATGTAAGTTGAAATAAATTTAGGTTAACCAACTGTTATAAGTGCAAATGCCTTATTTAAATTAAGGAGCTGTCAGTTATTGTCAGTAGTTTTGAGTGAATTGACTTAAAAGGTTAGCAGTGAGAACCTGAAAGCTTTGGTTTTCCAAGTAATTTTATGGAATCAAGTGAATTTGGAAGATCTAAAGTGTTTTACATAGTTGAAGTCTTATAGATCCTTGAGGGCATTTGGAGGCAGGGACAGACATGCTCAGCGTTGCGAGGGTATTACAAGATTTGCTTACTTGGTATATTGTTGGGCTCTATAGTAAGCTCTCTAGGATGAAGGCATTAAAAAAAAAAAAAGACAAAACACTAGCTTAAAAGAACATGCACTTAATAGTTTAATATAATGGTTTAATGTCTCCCCAAAGTTGTTAATATGTAATATGGAAAATTTAAAATCTCTAAGAATAAGTTTTATATGTTCTATGGGGTTTGTAGTAAACTTGTATGCCTTTCTTACAGCTACTGTTGTACATCCAAACTAGCTATTTGGAATTCCAGTGTTGTGGTTTTTTGTTTTGTTTTGTTTTTTGGTGGTACCAAGGATCAAACTCGGGACCTTGCCCTTGTCAGGAAAGCACTTACTCCACTGAGCTATCTCCCAGCCCCCTGGAATTAGTGTTGTAGAGTCATCTCTTCAGATTTATTGTCTACCTCAAGTTTGAGAAACATAGTTTCCTTTAGACATACTGTTGAACAAAGGAGTTTCTGTAGATATTTACTTTGCTTTTTGATGGAGATTTTAAAAGTACCTGTCATTAAAGTTTTTTATTGCTTTGTTTTCAGTGTAATGTGTTACTGTAAATTTGCTTTCTCTACTTTGTGATTCTTTAGGAATCTTTAGGATTCTTTAGGACTAGGATTATCCCTTTAATATACTGTTTAACTGATATGAATGTCTGCATATGTGAGCGTCAAATGATACTGTAGGGCTGGGGAGAGAGCTCAGTGGCGTAAGCACCTGCCTGGAAAGTGCAAGGTCCTGAATTTGATTCCTGGTAACTTCCCCCCCCCCAAAAAAAAAGGATACTATAAAATGTTGTCATTCTAAATGAGATATAGTTATACCTCAGTTTTCAGGTTAACACATTCACTTTAGGGCCATAATTCATTTTTTTCCCCAAGTGGCTTTGATTTAAATTCAGTAGTTCCCACTGGCTTGAAGTGCTAGATATATATGCATGTCTGTCCCAGGGCGCAGTTGTTCTGCTTCTCATGGAGTCTTTGATTACAGTAGTGGAAAGGAACATTGATTAGCAGGCTAGATATAATCTTACAGTTAAAGAAAACATTAAAATGGTATAAAAATTATAATGCAGCTAATATATAGTGGAGAAAGTATAAATGCACATTATATATACCAAGAATAGGGTACTTGTATGATTTCTATGTTAAAATTTAGAGAATTAATTATTGAAAAATTATTCAGTTATATATATATATATATATATATATATTAATTTCATAAAAATGGGGCCAAGGAGATAGCTCAGTGGCATAAGTGCCTGCCTGGCAAGCACAGAGTTCCAAGTTCAACCTGTGGTAATAAAAACAAAAAAGAAGAAAAATTTAATAAAAATGTTTTGTTGAATATTACAAAATTTTTAAAATTAATATTAATAGTATTAGCAGTTATATTTGAGGGCTAATTCTTTAAACTCAAACAACTAATCAGACTTTATTTTATTAATAAAAAGACCAGTAAAGGTGATTAGATCTGTTTGTACTATAGGCAAGAACTACTGAATAGGACCCTCCCGCATATGCCACGAATGATTCAATCCAGCAGGAACAAATATCAACACTCCTGGTCAATATTGTTCTGGGAACATTAGCAAAAGCAATTAGACAACAAAAATAAATAAGAGGAATAAAGATAGGAAGGAAAGTTAAATTATCATTATTTGAAGATAACATGATACTTACATGGAAGAGCACAAAAACTCCAACAAAAGAGTCACGATTTAATACTCAAATTCAGATTCAATAAGCAAATTCAGTCACATAGCAGGATTCAAAGTTAACGTTCAAATACACAAAAGACTCACAGAAAGAGAAATGAAGAAAACTGTATCTTTCACAATAGCACCAAAAACAATGAAATACTTAGGAATCAATTGAACAAAGGAAGTAAAGATCTTTACATTGAAAACTATAGTACTCTGAAAAAGGAGATCAAAGAGGATATCAGAAAATGGAAGCTGGGGAGATAGCTCAGTAGAATAAGCACTTGCCTGGTAAATGCAAGGTCCTGAGTTCAATCCCCGTACAGCAAAAATAAATAAATAAATAAATAAATAAATAAATAAATAAATGGAAAGATGTTCCTTGCTCTTGGATAGGAAAAACCAATGTAGTGAAAATGGCCATACTTTGAAAATTATTATACAGATTTAATGCAATCCCAATTAAAATACCAATAACATGCATCACAGAGCTAGGAAAACAAAACAAAACAAATTAATTCCAAAAATCATTTGGAACGAGAAGAGACCTAGAATAGCAAAAGCAATTCTGGGCAACAAAGGCAAGGCAGGCAGCATCACAGTTTCTGACCTGAAATTCTACTACAGACCTACTGTGATAAAAACAGCATGGTACTGGCCAAAAAGCAGACCTCAGGATCAATGGAAGAGATTAGAAGGTGCAGCAACTCCAAACACACTCAGCCACATTAATCTTTGACAAAGTGGCCAGACACTTGTACTGGAAAAAAAATAGCCTCTTTAATAAATGATCCTGGAAAAAAATGGATTTCTACATGTTCAAAACTAAAAATAGACCCATATCTCTCACCATGTACTAAACTAAAATTGAAATGGATCAAAGATATAAATATTAAAACAAATGCTAAGTCTGCTGGAAGAAACAACTCAACATAAACATAGAAAAAACCTTCATGAACAAAACTCTGATCACATAAGACATAGAACAAAGAATCAATAACTGAGATCATATTAAAAAGCTTTTGAACAGCAGAAGA